CCCCCCCCCCCCCCCCCCTCACGGCAACAGTACTCCCCAATGGCAGTGGCCTCCCAGCAGGATATTGCACCATGCCACACTACAAAAACTGTTTAGAAATGGCCTGTGGAGTGTGACACTCTTGGTCTGCAACGGTGTTTGAGTGGGTGGAACATGTCATTCATGGTATCCACATGAATGCCAGAACCAAAGGTTTCCCAGCAGAACAATGCATTGGACCATTGGTTTACACCCTTTAAACAGATTCCAAATACTAATTAGAAACTGATCAAGTGTCATCACGATTACATCTGTGGAACTTATGTTTTGGTTTAAAAACAATACATAAACACAAGTTTAAAGAAGTTACTTCTCTTTTTTTTGCAGTTCCTGATGACCTGCTTATTGCGTAAGTATCAGTCTTCTTCCCATTACCCTTTCACTTTCATCACAGGTATTTTTCCCTAGTAGTGGAATGTAACTAAGTACATTTACCAAGTACTGTACCTAAATACAGATTTGCAGTATTTGTAATTTATTTGAGTATTTCCATTTTATGCAACTTTATACTTTTACTCCATCACATCTCATAAGTAAATGTACCTCTTACTGCATTTGTCTGATGAGTACTATTTACTTTTTTATGGTGGCATGGTGGAGCAGTAGTTAGCATTGTTGGCTTACAGCAAGAGGGTTCCTGGTTGGGGTGGGGGAGCCCTTCTGTGCTTGCATGTTCTCCTCGGGTCAGCATAGGCTTTCTCCTCCCACAGTCCACAGACATACAGGTTAGGTTAATTGGGGACTCTAAATTGGCTGTGAGTGTGAATGGTTGTCTGTCTCTATAGTCTGGCGACCCATCCAGGGTGTAACTGTCTCTTGCCCAGTGTCAGCTGGGATAGTCTCCAGTACCCTTGCGACCCCCCTAACAAGATTATGGAAATAAATTAAAAACAAAACACACACAACATGCTCATATGATAAATGCTGTACTACACTACTATCAACTACCACCAATCTACGCACAATCGACCACTCAAAGTGCTTTTTACATTACAAGTCACATTCACCCATTCACACACACATTCATACACAGGTGGCCGAGGTTACCATACAAGGTGCCACCTGCTACTCAGTTTTTAACACACACTGATGGGCATCATTGTTCAGTATCTTGCTCAAGGATACTTCAACATGCAGACTGGAGGAGCCGGGGATCAAACTGCTGATCTTCCAATTGGTGGAGGAGTCGCTCTACCTCTGAGCCATGGCTGCAGGTTGAAAAGAGAGGGTGGCCGAAATACAATGTCAGGATAATGTCTAATGTCAACGTCAATTTAACCTACAAAACTGATTACAGATGAAGTTGATATTTTGTTGGGTTTTAAGTTGTGGTGTTAAGCAACCAAATTCCAGACATCTCATGCCAATGTCATCTTGATGTAGAATAACAACATCTAGTCGTAAGCTATAGAAAACGAAACCCAGTGTCTGACAAACATAACAATAATGTCCACACAATGTGACATTAATGTTGTTAGAAATGTAAAATATTGTCACCCCAATTTTAATTCTGATGAAAATCGAACATTTGTCTGACGTAAGAGTCCAGCGTCTTTCTGACATATTGACAGCTGTGGGAAAATATCTAAAACATAAAAATATAATATTATAATACAGTGAAAAGAGCCATTCTGCTTAATGAGTACAGTTACTTTTGATACTCAAAGTATATTTTGCTGACGTTACCTCTGTACTGAAGTAATATTTTAAATGCAAGACTTTTACTTGTAATTTGTACACAGTATTACTACTTAAGATCTGAATCCTTCCACTGCTGTTTATCACCACCACCAGTGACTTTGTGTTGCTGTAACTAAACTTTTTTTTGATTTTAAGGCTATCCATAGTTATCCTCCCCTGTCTGAGTCGTGATCTCAATAAAGATCTCTGCACATGGTTGACTGAGTGGGTGTGAGGTGCAGAAACCGCACTGACGAGGTCTGGATTTGCCTAAGTGACGTAGCACTGACACACAGTGTCATGATGCTGCTGTGTGTCCTGACATTTCCTGGCACAGTGGTTTGAATTACTGAGAGTGAAGGGGTGCTCACTGTCTGGGTCAGCTCAGCCACATCCTGTCTGTTTGTCAGGAATCTCTTCATCATGCTCTGTTTTTCACTCTATTTTTGTATTTGTCTCACTTCTCCTGTGTGGGAAAAATTCTGATGTCCACATTAATGATTGCAGGTAACATGTAGTGTGGAGTCAGTTTCTTGCATTGAACATTAATATGATTGTCTTATATGATATTTTGCATCCTTTTTCCTTATTGTAATATATAGACAGTAATGTTATTTAAGTTAGTATATGTTTTGATTTCAAACCAGTCATATTATCGTCTACACTGGTAGAATTTTAGTGAAGGATAAAAGACTAGGAATAAGATGCTAAAAACTCCTACATGAGAGGCAACATAACTGTCAGTTACACAGCTCATACATTTAGAGACACAACACACACAGACACACGTCAAGGAAAACCACATCAGGGGTTTTGAGCCTGGACTAAAACGAGTCAGTGGAGGAGGTGGATCTGATTGGGAGGGGGATGCTGTTCCACAGTTTGGGTGCAGACACAGCAAAGGAAGGGTCACTCCTAAACTTAAATCTGGAGGGTGGGACAGCCAGGAGCCCCAGGTCAGCTGACCTGAGGGACTTGGGGTTAGAATAGGGGGTTAGGAGGTCTGTGATGTAGGATGGGGTCAGACCATTAAGGGCTTTGTACACAAAGTAAGTCTTAAACTTAACTTAAATTGTGCTCAACTTTGACAGTTCTTCGATCGTTTTCTTACTTTTAGACTGGTCAACCCGTCAAAGTTTAAATGTCTGTTTAAAAATGTCAGGCAAATTTATTAGAAACATCCCTCATTTTTACTCCTCTTTCTGTTTGATAGAACTGCAATAATTTGTCTATTGACAGAATATTCGTTGTTATTGTCATTTTAGTAATTTCCTAAGCAAGAAAGTCAAACATTTGTGAGTTTCATGCTTCTTAAATGTGAGAATTTGATGCTTTTCTTTGTCAGTCATGATAATAAATGGAATAGGTGAGGATTTTTAGACTGTTGGTCAGATAAAATGTATCATTTGAAGACGTCATCTGGGATGAAACGATTTATTGAGACATTAATAGGCAGATTCATTGATAATAAAAATACATTGTTGGTTGCAGCCCTGGTACTTTCCAGTGGATGCATGATTTTCACATGTAGATATTTCAAGCTCAGCTACAGACTGAACTAGAGACCATCTTGTGATGGGATCAGCCCAACTGTGATACACTAATCTGCAAATTATGCTGCATTCATGTGCTCCTTGGATGATCCCATGTCCCAAGTTGGGAAGTCATTATTCCAACTTACGTGTTCATGAGCTTTGAGTCGTAATGTGGATTCAACTTGGATGCTATAAAGATGTGTTGTATTTTATTGCTCAAACCATTTAAACAACACATTGATAACAGTTTGAAGCTTTATATTACAAAGTGATTTTACACCCCCTAAAAGTACTAAACTATTACTTTACCTAGCTAACGGTAATGAATAACTTTTTCTAAATAATCTAGGTCACTCTATGTGGACAGTAACTAAAAGTTACAACCTTACACATTATTACAAATAACACGTGAGAAAAAATTGACACGCAGTTTGTCAATTAATAAATAATTACCATCAGCTGAATATTTAATTTCATCCGCCATGTTACTGAATATGTGATGTCAACTCAGCAACTCCTAGTTGTTGTTCTGATTTGAGGGGGCATTCACATTAATTTTTCCAGATGGGAAGTAATTTTTCCGATTGTTCTGTCACCACATGAATGCAAGGTTAAAGCGAATGTTGGCTAGGGGCGTAAAGTTTGGGGGCAAATGGCAACTTTCCTACTTCCTACTTTCCTACGTCCGCCCCCCTTGCTTGGTCCACACCCATCTTCGAATTTTGCCTTCATTTTGATCTCAACACACCTGTAAAGTTTCATGACTGCATCTTTCACAGTTGTAATATTATTGCATTCACACAATCTGTCCGCACTCCACACACAGACATAAACACCTGATAAAATACTCAGAGCTGCTTCTGTGGTAGCTCTCACTACAATAGGTGTCACCAGGACCACATTTTGCTGTGATGACACACACAGACTCACAAGGTGAAAATATACATTCATACATGAAAGAAGTGACTGTAGAGGACGCAGATATTCTGGTTCTTCTACCAACAGTAGCCCCAAAAGTCCACAGCCTGTGGGGGCACAGTAACTCATGCTGTCTTAATGAGAAGCTCACACACTCTGGAGTGATCATAAAAAATTGGTCTAATTTGATAATTTCTTCAAAGTTCTACTCAGCAGTTTCTGTGTGTATATCATAAAATGTAATTATATAAATAACTCACTTATTTGTGCAAACCAGTTTCAAGTCATGCACTAGAGTACAAATTTGAAGTTCTCGTACTTTGCTCGAGTATCTCCACGTTATACAACTTTCGGTTACACTTTACTTGAAGTTATCTACATAACTATGACATGACACTGTCATGAACCTGTCATGAACATTATGTACATGTCATAAACGTTTATGACTGCTGTCATTAGGTGTCATTTGGTTTTTGTAATGACAAGTTGACATTGTTTGGGTTGTCTTTATTATGACAACTTGACATTAATTAAAGTGACATTACCAGAAGCTGTCTTTGTCATGACAAGTTGACATTAAATTTGTTTGGGATGTCCTTATAATGACAACTTGACATTAACATAAAGACATCTTCTGGTAATGTCATCCTGAGTGTGCATGCGCCACGGTGTATGCAGCCTGTTCCAGTCAAACAATTCCCCCCCGGGGATTAATAAAGTATTCTGAATCTGAATCTGAATCCTGGTTAATGTCAAGTTGTCATTATAAGGACATCCCAAACAAATTTAATGTCAAGTAAAGTGTTATCCAACTTCCTCCTCCTCTGCTACATCTCAGATGTAAATATTGCACTTTTTTCTGCACTGTCTGACAGCTTAAGGTACTTTTCAGATAACAGATTTTCATCCCCTTCCCACTCAGTGAAAAACATTTATAATCAGATGTGTTGATTTTTTTGTTTGTGATAGCACTGAATGATTTTAGAAAAATATCTAATTGTGATTAATTTGACTGATATTGCAATTGCAATATGATTTGTGATGTTAGAGACAATGATATTTGTTAATGAGTTATTGATAACTTTCAGGGTTTTTGAATGCCAAGGTATAAAACGTGGTGGATGTCTTTACATCTCTAACTTGCCTTCTACATTTTCTTTTCATGTCTTTCAGGCTGAAGTTTGTCTTCGGGCCCTGTGCGCTGCAGGCTCTGGACCTTGTTGACCAGCACTCAGTCACCTGTGTGTCCTCTCCCAGTGGACGCAAAGCATTTCAGGTCTGTCCCCATCAGTCTACACTCAAGCAGTGGTTCTACATACAGAGTTTATATACTACACATTAATGGGTGGCATCCTAACATTGAATCTTTACAACAACATTTACATTCTGCCAAAGCAAAATAGTTTGCAACTTGGACATGTATATTTCACATCTCGATCACCAAGATAATCAAAACAGTCGATATTAGGGCTTTTTTTTTTTTTTACCAAAACAAGTGCAGGACTTAAGATGTGTTTAGTGGTTTTCTTCCTTGTACTTTGTTTAAATTTCCATAAAGAAAACTGGGGGGAAAAAGAGACTCTGACACATCTTGGATCCAGTGTTTGTAGCTCGCAGTTTTTGTTTCGCGGTGTTTTAATAAAGAAGGTGAAAACAAATCACCTCAGCAGGTTGTTAGATCTTAATTTGATAAATGCATTTCATCCTGTGGCGCATCCATTAGTCATGTCCTGGCACACAATTACGCACTGCGCTATTGTGTGCTAATTAAATGCTGATGTTTGACATTTTATAATTGTATAATGGAGGCACTGAGAGGTGGATAATTACAGTATGATCACAATAAAATGTGTGACCTAACTTTGTGGGTTATATCATAATACCTTATTACAAACATGTCACTACAAACCTTAAGAAGTAAGAACTGACTCAGTATTTGTCACATAATAGAGAAGGCTCTTTTACAGTGAACAAAAATATAAATGCAACACTTTTGTTTTTGCTCCCATTTTTCATGAGCTGAACTCAAAGAT